GAGTATCTGAGACGAAAATGCCAACAAAGGATCAATTTTCTCCGAACAATTACCGGAACGTGGTGGGGAGCTCATCCGCAAGATCTTCTAACGTTGTACCGGACAACGATTTTATCGGTTTTGGAGTACGGTAGTTTTTGCTTCCAGTCGGCGGCTAAAACTCACATCATCAAACTGGAACGTATCCAGTATCGTTGTCTTCGTATCGCGTTAGGATGCATGCACTCGACTCATACGATGAGTCTCGAAGTGTTGGCGGGCATGTTGCCACTATCGGATCGGTTTTCGGAATTATCCCTCAGGCTCCTCACCCGTTGTGAAGTTATGAACCCACTGGTAATCGAAAACTTTGAGAAGCTTCTTGAGCTAAACCCTCAAACTCGTTTTATGTCATTGTACTACGTGTACATAACTCAGGATGTCAGCCCTTCACAGCATAATCCCCATCGTGTATGCTTCTCCGACTTCGGCAATTCAGTTAGTTTTGATTTATCTATGACGCGGGAGATTCGTGGGATCCCAGAACATCATCGTTCCATGATTGTTCCGTCAATTTACGCTGCAAAGTTTGGCCAAGTTGATTCCGCAAGATCGTTCTTCACAGATGGATCACTAATAGAGTCGTCCGCTGGTTTTGGTATTTTTAACGAATTTCATAGCGCCTCTCGAATGCTTCATGCTCCTTGTTCCGTATATGTTGCTGAACTGGCGGCAATATATTATACGCTAGAAACGATCGCCTCACTTGCACCAGATCATTATTTTATTTTTACGGATAGTCTCAGTTCTGTCGAGGCTATTCGCTCTATGAGGCCGGTAAAGCACTCCTCGTATTTTCTCATGAAAATACGAGAGCTTCTGAGTGCTTTATCTTTAAGATCTTTTGTCATCACCTTTGCATGGGTCCCATCTCATTGCTCGATTCCGGGCAATGAGAAGGCGGACTCACTTGCTAAGGTGGGCGCTATGCAAGGCGATATTTACGATCGACAAATCGCCTACGATGAATTTTTCTTCATTTATCGTCAACAGTCACTCGTCAGCTGGCAGAATAAGTGGAGTGAAGGGAGTTTGGGACGATGGCTATATTCGATCATCCCTAAGGTGTCGAAGAGTCCTTGGTTCAAGGGGTTGGATGTGGGTCGAGACTTCATTCGTCTGATGTCTCGCCTCATGTCCAATCACTATTCGTTAAACGCTCACTTGTTCCGTGTTGAGCTGGGGGACAGTAATCTCTGTGAATGTGGACAAGGTTACCAGGACGCAGATCACATTATTTGGTCATGTGCTGAGCACCGTGGAGTCAGATCCGAGTTGTATGATTCCCTTCGGGCTCGAGGTAGACAACCTAATGTTCCAGTTCGGGATATTTTGGCTAGACGTGATCTGGAGTTTATGAAACTCATATATGTTTACTTTAAGAATACTAACCTTAGATTGTAAGTTTGATTAACCTTGTGTTTAGTTTGTGTATTGTGCGTGTAGTTTTTTTTTTAATGTTTGTTTTCAAGATGAATAGAAATAAGTTCATGTTTTAGGATTAATTAAATATATGTATAATAAATCATATTTCAAACCTCCTTCTCCCTTTCCCCACCCAAAAAATTGTAAATCTCCACTAACCTCGAGACGACCGCGAGTAATCGGTTCAATTCCTTTAACTCTAGATTTAAGACAATAATCATGTATAATGAAAATGATAACTCGGCTCTGTAAAGTTTATTCGATTGAGCCTGTACAAATAAATTAATATAAAAAAAAAAAAAAAAAAAAAAATGTGTTTTTAATGAAAATGTAAAAATCGTGAAATATTCAAAAAACCATAACTTTTTTGTTTTTGAGTTTACCATCACCAAACTTTGCCAGTTAGTAGCAAACATTATGAGCTTCAATGAGGCTTAAAACGAAAATGTACTTTTTGAGAAATTTACTTTTTTAATAATAAATATATTTTTTTCATTGATACAAACGAAATTTTTTACAGTGTATATTTTTTACACAATTGCCAAAATAATATCTACAACTTTGCTCTAGACCCCAAATCAATCGAACAAAGCGTTTCGGCAATATATATTTTTAAACTCATTAGTACTATTTTTACACAGGCCCTTTTCAAAAAGTAGTCGTAATTCAATATGAAAAACTGAGAGCACAAAATGGCGCCTTTACTAAAAAGGAACAACTGTGCAAAGTTTCAGCGCAATTGGAAATGATCGGTCAGGATCGATTTGCGAACCTTCGCGGAATGCCTCAATAGTTAAACGATTCCAAATCGGATCCTGACTAACCTCTCAAAATTTTAACCCATTTGGTGAGAAACTGAGATGGCACAAACCATTTGAAGTTTGTATGGGAATTACTATGGTAAAACCAAGATTTTTGTTCATGTCTATCTAATAATTCACCATATCGGTCTGCTTTAAAAGTTTTTAATTAAGCTTGTAGGAAATTGTCCCAGCTACAACTTTGCTCAAGACCACTTTTTAATTAAAGGCAAGAATCGAAAGTTATCAATGGTTCAATGCGCTGATGTCTTATGATCATGCTCAATCAACTGCTCAGCAGGCAACATTGGTGTTTCTGGGGCGTTGAATAGGACACAAAAATCATGGCTACTATGTCACACTGCGAATACAGTGTTGCTTACAGAGCAGCTGCTGGATCATGTCATAAGTTTACCAATCTCTAAAATAATTAATAACTTTTACCTGTCTCGTTTTACATAGAAACAATCTTCAGCAAAGATGTAGCTGAAAAATTTTCTATAAGAATGGCTATCGAACTGTTTCGCAGCTCAATATGGAAAAAGACTAGAAGGCAATGAACAAAAAGTTGAGATCTCCCATAGTAATTTACATGTCAACTTCAAATGGCTTGTGCGAAGTCTGTTTCTAACCAAATGAGTTATAACTTTGAAAGGCTAATCAAGACCCGATTTGAAACCATTTAAGCACTGTGGAGCAAAAAAGTCAAATTTTGCATCAGTCTAATGGGCAGCAAACTTATCAAAAGATGCCATTACGATCCAAAATGGCCGAATTTTTGTATAAATGTAAATGATCGCCCATAACACACAACCATACAAATCGGAGAAGTTCGAATCATTTATTTTTATTTTTAACGTGGGATTTCGTCTTTGCGGACGATACTGGGGTGCATATCAAAAAAATGTGTAACGAAATAGTTTTAGGGTTTTTTTTTTAATTACAGAGCCAAGTTATCATTTGCGTTATGCATTATTAATGTCTTAAATCTAAAATTAAAGGATTTAAACCAATTACTTGCGGTCTTCTCGAGGTTAGTGGATTACAATTGTATGGATGGGGAGAGGGAGAAGGAGTTTTGAAATATGTTTTACGATACAAATATTTCATTATTCCTAAAACATGGACTTATTCCTATTTAGCTTGATATCAGCAGTGGTAATTATACTATTATTACACAACAAACATTAAACAAAAAACACGCAACCAAAATACAAACTAAGCACAAGGTTAATCAAGCTTACAATCTAAGGTTAATATTCTTCAAGAAAACATATCAAGAACAACATGTGAAAAGGGCATACAAGCTTTTTGTAAACAAACCTTCTTATGCCCTTTTCTCGCCACCCATATGACACCTGCGCAAACTATCAACATCAGCGGGTAGGGGAAACTTTCCCCTTCCCGATGATGTTGGTGCTTTGCGTGGGCGACAAAAAGCTTGTAAGCCCTTTTCACATGTGGCTCTTGATATATGAGTTTCATAAACTCCAGATCGCGTCCAGCCAAAACATCCCGAACTGGAACATTAGGTAGTCTTACTCGAGTCCGAAGGGAATCATACAACTCCAATCTGACTCAACGATGCTCAGCACAAGACCAAATAATGTGATCTGCGTCCTGGTTACCTTGTCCACATTAACAGAGATTGCTGTCCCCCAGCCCAACACGGAACAAGTGAGTGTTTAACGAATAGTGATTGGACATCACACGAATGAAGTCCCGACCCACCTCCAAACTTTTGAACCAAGGATACTAGTGTTAGGTTTTAAACGTTTATATCTTGGTCATTTATTGATGAATTTAAATTATTTTTACACCCTTTGATTCTGAATTGATGAAAAATTTGTTTGTAATAGTAACTTATAATTAGTAAACTAATTATACGACTTTTAGGCCACAGTCAACCAATTACGTTTGCTATGACTATCGAGAGAACAGAGAGAGACGACCGTGTTCTTGTGCTTGTGATGTGTAGGAAGGAATGAGCAGTTTAATGACCCCGTAGACCATTTCCCTAACGAGTAACACCTACTAGGGTTGGTTCCGTTTGGGGTCCACTGTACAAAATTTGGGACCATTGGTTGTAGCCCGGCTGTCCGCATTGCGTTTGAAATCTTTATCGAAATTAGTATGGGAAAACCTATTTTTTTGCATTTTAATTCCTAGCTACCACAATTTTGCTTGAACCATGCAACTAATTATGTAAAAGTATGATCCAACAACTTTTGAAAAAGATGTAAAATTAACCTTTAAGCAATATTATGCAACTTCTTAAAGAAAAGATAGGATTGCAGAGCAACCGAAAACGGTTTAGAACAAATCCTTTGTAGAAAATTTTCAGAGTGCCGAATAAGATTATTTAAAGAAACGTGAACCTCAATCCAGAAAAGGAAGATTCAGATTGCCTTTGCTACAGGATAAACGTAACAATCCCTATCAATTAGTACATGACCAGTGCAGTCAGTAATTATTCACCGCCATTTTTTACGGAACCTTCTTCGAAGTGAACAACTCTAAGCCATCCTTTGCACTACGCAGCAGGTCCATTAATTAGCTTAAAACACGTCCAGCTCGTCTTCCGCTTAGCCATTAATTATGCATCCGATCCGCCCAATCAAAATGCATTAAAAAGAACATTTCTTGCTCACCTTATGACTAAATAATTAACCCCGTGATCCCATGGTCAATTTTCCGCCTGTTAAAGACAATTAATTCCACGCTTCGGACACCTACCTGTGGACACATTTTGCACTGGTACTTCCGGCCGGTCCCGTTGGGCAGGGCTGCTCCTATCTTGGTCGCATTGATGGGCTGTGGCACGACGAGCAGACCCGCCGAGTTTGGATGCACGTGATGTCCACCGGGAGAGCTGTTACTCGACGCCCCTCGGGCTCCGTAGATTTGGCTCATCTGAGCCGATTGCATTCCATGATGATCCAGCAGCCGGCCGTCGTCAATCATGTGACCTGTTCATGATTGGTGCCACACGTGTACCGATGGGGTAGAAGAAGCGCAAAATTGGAAAATTAAAATTTGAAATTTCAATTATTGCAAAGGCGTGAAATGGTAGAATTAAAAAAAAAAGTTCGCACAAACATTTGTACGGTTCGTATGAAAGAGAAGGAGAGAAAACGAGCGGGTGGTTTACCTTTCTGCAGGTTGTTGTGATGATGGTGATGATCGACCGCATTCATTTTCGCCTGTTTGGGATGATAGAGAGAAGAAAAAAACAAAATGAAACGTGTTGAGAATGGGTAGAAAATAATCAGATTAATTGCTTCACGCAGAGTCCAACGGGGTGAAGCGGTAGACGAAGCATCAAGAGCGACACACACAAAAAACCTACAAATGTTTTAATTGATGAATGAGAATTGGATGCGAGCAAAAGGAACAAATACGGATGCGAAAAAAAAGCACAAAGAAAAACTGGAGAAGCAATAGTTAAAAGTGTATGCCATCAACGTTCATTGTGCGGTCCAATCCCAGTTGAGCTGGGGAAATGTGGTGGGTGGTTGGAGAGCGATAGTCCCTTGAGAAAAGGGAAAATCGGTGGGGATGCAATTCGTTCGGAAAAACAATAAAAACAAATAAATATAGTTTTTATTTTTCATGTTGCATGTTTCACGCAAACTCACTCCTAATAATGTTAAGATATATTTTATTAAGTTCTAATAAATAATTTAGCAGAAAATCATGATATCATTGGCCTAATTTCTTCTTGCAAAAGTTTTGAAAATTCAAAGTAAAACTCTCAGCAGAGAGTTTTTGAAAACCAACAGCATTTCATCTCCTTCAGCTAATAGAAAATTAATTTTTCGAAGGCATCGGGAAACAAAAGATCGCCTCGAAACAAAAGCACTCAGAAGAGCTAGAAAAGGTAAGAGTACGTACCCGGGTAGAAACAAAATGAAATCAACACAGAATGGATGAGGTGGAAAGCGTTTTCCACTCTTTTGTTGTTCAGACTGAGCTTTCACGGCAAAGGCGGCATCAGCACCTCCCGAAAGGATTCTTTTCTCCTCCTAGCGGGAGAGCTGCAGCAGTGAAACCTTCCTATGGCAGTGGAGCGATGACGATGATGATGTGAGCGTCTAATAAAAATCGCACTCGGTAATGCCCGGCAGCACAATTCCGAAAGATTCGGCAAATGAACGGAAATCGCTGTACCTGCTACTACTTGGCTTGTGGCTTGCATTTTTCTGCACAGAACCAAAGAAAGGAACGAACGCAACATAGCAACAGGAACACAACAAAAAAAAAAATGCAGTTTGGCTACGGAAAAATATACAGCCAAGCAGAAAGTACACACAACATCAATCAAAACACGAGAAACTGTGGGATTGTGGGGAATGTTTCTCGACTTGGGGTAGATCCTGATTGGATCAATCCAGTCGTAGATGGTTGATTGAGCCAACAGGACCACCCTCGAACCATAATCCAAATGAATCTATGACGATTTTTATTAGGATTTCACAAAACGCAAGAGTGCGAGAAGCAGGAAAAGCTTTTCTTCTCCGTCGGAAGTGTGTTTCTTTTGTGTGGGATTTGAACAAGAACTGAAAAACGACAGCAGCAAAAAGCAACGGAAAAACTGAGTAGCAAAATGTGATTTGAACGCACGACCATCGGTGTAGGTCCTACACGGTAACTGAAAAATAGTCAATAATGACTATAAAGTATGCATTTTTTGGAAGACGGGACCTCGGACGGGACTGCCCATTATATGAGTAAAATTTTACCTCTAAATGAGTATTTTTTAACTACAGAAATGAGTAAAATTTATTAATTTGTAATCAACAGTTACTCATAAATGGGTAAATTATTAACTCATTTAATGGGTAGTCCCATTTTCCTTCGAAAGGGCATACTTAATAGTCAATATTGAGTACTTTATAGTCTCTATAGAGTATTTTGCGGGTACCGTGTAGGTATGACAACAACAACAACAACAACACATAAAGACCGGAGTTGGATCAAAAGAGGTACCTCATATCCTTGCTTCATGGACATGTGGTTTCTGGGGGCCGGCCAGCCGCTGTACGAGTCCATGTCCTTGGTGTGCTGGCCACATTGCTGATGAAGCACCGGACACGCATCGGATTCAGCCATCGTCGTGTTCGCAATTGGCGGCCATGCGTGCCGAAACGAAGATCGAGAAGAAGGAGATTTCGGTTTTCGTTTGAAGTGCCCGGTTTGTGTCCAAGTAGAGATGCAATTACCATCGGCAATGGCAACGTCGGATTTCCATCGGTGCGTCAGATCAAAGTTGGAGCAGCGGGAAATGAAAGAGAAAATAGAATATTCAGATGAGATTCGATATTAGTGCAATGTGTGGAGGATTAAGGGTCTCAAGCATCGTGTTGTGATTGTTAATTAAGATTGTTTTTGCGGAACGTAAAGAAAAACATCTGTAAGAAAAGTTACAAAATGACAAATTTGGAAATGTTAGAGTCATTTAAGCAAGTATGCTGTATTGCCGCTGGATTTAAGGTTTTAATTTCCCGGATTTGCGTGGCAGCCCAAAAAATCCCAGTTTAATACAAACAGTAAAATATATTTAAAAATAAAACAAAACAAAAAGAAAGATTTTGTTGATTTCAGTAATAGCTGTCGATAGTTAAATCTTACGACATTTTGTTTTATATGCATACAACCAAACAAAAATTATAAGCGATCGTTAAAGACTGTTTCAGGGGATTCCTAGATGAATTTTTACGGATTTTGAGTGAAGTTCCATGAATTTATGAGTACACAGCAAAAAAAAAAATGTAATATCGATCAACGTAATTCAAGCTGATGTATGAAATAATGATGTAATAGCAAAATGCAGATACAATATTACATCAATGGATGTTATTTTGTTCGCAAAATCGATGTACATCGTACAATGTGATATTACAAAACCGATGGATTGACCTGGTTGCAGCAGTTTCGATGTAATATTCAACAACTTTTTTGCTGTGTAGTTCCCAAAACATAATCTACATAATTTTAAGCACGTTTTGTGTATATTTCCTAAGAAACATCTGAGTAACATTGAGTAACAGAGGAAAAAAAAAAAACATTGAGCAAGTGATAGCTTTGAGGAGCTTATCTTCTAGCTCTCGAACGAGTCGTTAGGTTCTTAATAATGGATGGCCATTAGATATAGTTAGTTAGTTGCAGTAGTGTTAGGTCCCGAACAGAGAAAAAAAAGTTAGTTGCATAAATACCGGTAATACCGGGTGATTTTCCGGGACTGAAATACCGGTACTTACAAGTGAAAATACCCATACTTTCGGCACTGGTCATTAAAAAAATTAATAGTATTAAAGAAAAAGCTTTTTGCTTTTTTAAATGATTGATATACATTGTTTTAATCTATTTAGTAATTAGATTATCTTCCCTTCACATCCGCACACATACCACAGATAGTGATGTGTGAGCAGTCGAGCGAAGCGGCTGTTTGTCTCCCTGGATCGGTGCTCGCATTTTATTTGTTTTATATCTCGTGCGCAATAATTTAATTTGATTGAAAAGTTATTGCAGATGTTAAGATGTGAGAGTTTCGGATGCAATGTGGCTTGGTGTGCTCTCGTATTTCCCTTTGTTACCCCGTCTGAGCTCGACCGTGCTGATCTATTGTTCGGTTTTTGCGATGAGAAACGGCTTTGCTCGCATCATGTGGTGTAAAATAATAGATACTGAAAACGCATTCGACCATGCTTGGTCTTGGACCATGCTTGAGCTTGGTCTTTGGCTGATCGGAGTGAATAATCGGGATTGGTTATGAAAGTACCAGCCAAGCAAAAATGAAAATGAAAATATGAGTGGCATGCGTGGCATGATGCTATGTATATATGCATTTTGTTAATGTTGGATGAGTACAGTATTTTTTTTCCTTGATTTGTTTTCCGTCGATCTTGTTTTCTGTGCTGAACCACCAATGCTACCGATGCCATGGAGGCAGCTCCCACACCTGGACCCTACCTATCGACCCATCAACTCATGAATCGGGGACCAACGGCTTTACTTCCCTTCCGAAGGGAATGAGATGTTATGCCTCAGAACATCCCGGTGGCGCTAACTGGGATTGAACTCCTGTCTGCTGGGGTGAAAGGTAATCACGCTTACCACTACACCACCGGCGCCGCTGTGAGTACAATCCACATGGAATAAAATGGAATGGAAAAAATGGTATAAAAGGGAATTTTTATGGAAATCATTATCATCAAATCAGTAATCATACTGAAATGCTTAAAACTAACTCAATGTTTGATGCTGTTCAATATCGTCATTAAACATTTTGAATTCGAATGTTCGATCTCTTAAAGATAATGAAGACGAGCTATTTAACTTTTTGAGAATTCATAACGAACATATTGCCGTTATAACTGAAACGTTCCTTAAACCTGACCATAAGGTTAAAAGGGATGCAAATTATTTAATTTATCGAAAAGATCGGCTTGATGGAGCCTGTTGCCATCGTTGTTCATAGACGAATCAAACATCACATTCTTTCTTCGTTAGAAACAAAATTTTTGAAACTTTGGGGGTTTTGTCGAATCGATGAGCAGTTTGGATTTTGCCATGGGCAATCAAATACTCATCAACTCTTAAAACTTTCCAATTTGATTCGTTTAAACAAAGCTGAAGGCTGTTCAACTGTAATTGCTCTTCTAGACATAGAAAAGCATTCGGCAGTGTTTGACATGAAGATTTGATTGCCAAATTGAAATTGTTTAATTTACCACTCTTTATTATGAAATTAGTTAAACATTATTTAACTGACACACCTCTAAACATTATTTAACTGACAGAACAAATCTAAAAGACTACCTGTTAAAGTTGGAGTTCTTCAGGGTAGCATTATTGGGCCTATATTGTATAACATTTTCACTTCGGACATTCCTGATTTGTCTCAGGGCTGGCACAAATCTTTGTTCACCGATCACACAGGTTTTGCCGTTAAAGGAAGAAGTCTTCGTGTTATTTGCAGCAGACTGCAGGAAAGTTTAGATATTTTCTCTTCTTATTTACAAAAATGGAAGATTTCCCCCCCACGCTCCTAAAATTGTACGTATAATATTTCCCGTAAGCCTAGAGCTTCCTTTTTGAAACCTAGTAGTGAAGGAAGTTCCAATTTCTTGGTCAAGTCAAGTGAAATATCTTGGATTAGTACTTGACTTGAAGAATACATTTCTAATATTTAAACATTTTTTTAGACCAGCCTTGCTTTACACTGTGTCAATATGGTCTAGTTGTTGCACTACCAGGAAAAAAGCACTTCAACAAAGTTCTGAAGATAATTTTGAAGTTGCCTCCCTGCTACCGAGGTACATATAATTTCGAATGTTGAGACTTTAGAACAAATGTCCAACTAAATAATTAATAATTTCAGGCAAAAATCGATGCAATCCTCAATTGCAACGATTAATTACCTTTATACTTAGATAAGATTTATTAGTTATTGAATTTATGATGTCAATTGTTATACTGACATGCAGGAATAGAAAATCTGAAGAAAAACACATAGGTATCATAACAATTAAGGCTGGTAAGTTACTTGTATAAACTGGAGCACTTAGGTTAAAATAAAATGTTACTTATTTTAAATTTGGAACCAATAAAAAGTTACAAACATTATATTGGAACATTTATATGAAGTATTATGAATATTTAATTGTACAGAAGCTCATTATTGAATTCCTTTCGGATTCCACGATCAATTAATTTAAACACTAAAAACCGGTATTCCAAAATCTTCACGATTAAAAAGAATATTCTGTTCGCTTTATTTGGATACCACTATGTACTACAGATAATTTTCATTTGGAGGTCTTGAGCAAACAATAATATGGCTGATTCAACTTTTATATATAATTGATGTCCCCTTCCCCCCACTTAATAACTTACAAAATATAGAAAAAACAAAAACAAAAGCAGATTCAGAATCGTCACTTACTCTGTGCTTTATCTCAAAACTAATTTTTTTTTTATTATTATTATTTAATTATAAAATAAGTTGTTTAAACATTTGCTTTATCGTCGCATGATATTTAAATTGTATTTGCTCCCCCCCTGACCTATATGAATGATGCCAGACATAAAATGAAAGTAATATTTGCTGTAGCCAAAGGTTGAACGGAAAGTTCATCGGTTTCAGTTTTCTATATGCAATTTTCACACTGCCGTACTCTAAACGGAACTATCAATTCTATACGTTCATCTCCTTATCTATCGTATACAAATTATCACTTTAGCCTGTTATTTGAAATCAGCATCTTCAACTATGTAAATCGTTGACTTCACGCAAAAGTAATACTAAACATATAGTCAAAGTCCTGAATAAAGATAAAAAAAACATCCTGGTATTTGACCCAACTTAGTTTCCTTGGAGCACTTCCACCGTTTATTCATGCCACATTGCATGCATCTGCATATTATGTGCGAAGCACAATTATACGGTATGCCTTGATGCAAAATTTTAAATTTTCGCCTGATGACAATGTGACGTAAATCCATTTAGAGAATTGTCCAGAAAACACATATTGTTGATTATCCTCGTAATGATTACGAAAATTTGCAAAATTCGGATCGGTTCAATATGATCCAAACAAAGATAAAAATATGATCCTTGATGTTTAAAAAAAGCTTTTAATAAGGTTAGTTAACTCTCTAATAAGGAAAATCCCAAAGGCTTGGTAGCCATCATAATGAAGTAATGAAATTAGGGAGTTGAATAGATTTTTCTCCTTTAGCTTACTCAAATCTTTGGTTTTTATTAGTTAGGTAGCTTCCGATTCAACACATTGTAGTTTCATTTTTATACCTATGATCTTGACTTTTATACCTTGGGGATGAGTACTTAAGGGGGTTAGATTTTAATAAGTTCTTTAGTGGGAATGGCACTGATGAAGACTGCACATTGTAGTCGAAATACGTATCTGTCATAAATACCAAAATGAATTAAGTGGAATTAAATGGAAGATAACCTTTTTTTGCTGTTTTATTTAAGCATTCCGCTAACAACCCAATTTCATTACTTCAAGTTTGAAGTGTTTTTGGGTGTCATTTAGGATGCAGAACTCGAA